TTCCTTCGTAAGCGTTTCTATTTAACAACGAGAAATGTCGCTCGACAGGAAATTTCTATTGGATATCACTTAATGATAACTTAGGACAGGCGGGGAATTAAAGTCATGACAACGGTCACAATTTTTAGTTCGCGTACCCCCAGGTACCGCCACGGTGGTCTAGCGGTTAGAACGCTCGCCTTGTAATCCTGGGGTCTCGGGTTCGATTCTCGGCTGTGCCCGAATTTATAACTTGTGTTGGGCAAGGCCGTGGTCTAGGCAACACGGAGTTTTCCTCCGTGGCATCCCAACAATTACTCCATTCACACACAGAAGAAGGCAATGGCAAACCACTGCTGGATCATCTGCCAAGAACGTATATGAACAGGGCCCAGTCCGAGAAAAAGATGGAAGGATCCTGTTCATATGGACATGTCGTCAGACAGAACACTAAATAAAAAAAAAATTACAAGTGGCGCTATTATCGGTGCCAGAATATTGCAGGAAATTTCTAAAGTGCGATTTTAGGGTCGTTCAAAATGACATAAACTTTGTACCAAATTTCATCCAAATCCATCCAACGGTTCTCGAGGTAAATCACGTGGACGGAGAGACAGACATGACAGACCTGTTGATTATACGTATATAATAGATACATGCGGTTTGAAACCACGTCAGTGAACAGGTCGAAAGGTACAATTGTGTTTGCTTTCTGAAGGAGACGGTACATTATATAAAGTCAATATTAAACACGGAAGAATTTCCGTGTTGGAGTTTTCTGTGGTGATAAGAATATGGATGTTTGTTTTAGAGGAAGGTTTAAAAAATATATATAATTTTATAGGACGTAATCAGTTATTTAAAAAGCTAAAGTCAGGTCGTACTGGAATCAAAACTTCGAAAATAGAAGAAAATATTACCCTGGCAATAATAATTTTGTACGTGAAACACAAAGTTCAAACGATAATTTGTGGCTGTATTTTGCTACGTTACTAAAGTTCTTACAACTGAGTGCAATAGCACTCCACTTCTTGAAATGTTACATTCTATAATTATCAATTAACTTCAGAGTTCCTGTAAAACAGTTCATCCTGTGTCACTTCCGTATTTATTGCTCGAGCTTTAAACTACGAAATTTGCTCCATTTCCTTTTGACATTTCTTTTTCCGGAAAACTCAAAGACTACGGGGGATGTTTCTGTAGTAGGGGTAATTATTTATACACGCTCCACCTGCTGAAATGCTAGACGCTACTTTACAGCAGAAATAACGGGAATTAGACGAAAGGCACACAGAGAACACGCCAAGTTCTGAGGTGGAAACACTACAAGCGCCATTTACGAGTCAAGAAATATATGGTTTATAATAAGCCTTCGCCATGCAAGTTTACAGGTAATTTTTACGTATGATTTTAATTATGTGTATTCGTATGTTTATTTTAGTCGACTTCTCATTTAAACAAATAACTGCTTCAAAAGGACCAGTTTGTATGAGCGCTACGACCAAGATTTCAATGTGAAATTAGTGGACTATTTCTCCCGGCAATAATTCTCTGTGCCCTCGAAGTTTCCTCTGAAACAACCGTCCCTGTTATTCATGCAAATCACGGCACGGCCTCTTGAATCCTCAATGACCTGCTCAGTTTCCTTGTCTTCGAGAGTCACACAAGAAGCCAATACGTAAGCGATTTCTGCGCACGCGTCAATCAAATATCCATTGCCTACAACCGTTAACAATCACGGGCCCTGCGTGTAGTTTCGTATAAGACGCTATTGTTCAAAGATCGAGATTTTTCGAAATCATTCAAAGACAAAAGAGACAAAATGTGAGCATTGATTTATACCAGACGTTACCCTGTCAGTCTGTCCGTCTATTTTAGAAGACATTTACAAAATATGATTAGTAATGATACGAATAAAAGTTGGATTTTCGTAATGAATTTTGTCTGAAATTAACAGGCGAAGAGTAATCTCGACATGCGGGCGTTCCAAACACTTCGTGACACAGGACAATGTCAGGGTCCCGTAGCTGAAACTAAGTTTGCTCTCAGCGGTCAGATCCCGACCATCGGGTGAATTGGCACAGACGAAGGAAGGGAACGCACGGCCATTTATTTTAGTGGTGACAGTGGAAACTACTTTTGGTGGACCGTAACTCCTTTCCAGTCTGTTCTGTGAATACGAAGATACGTAAGTAAGACTCATGAATAATTCTCAGCTCTAAAACGTGCGCTAATGTTTTAGACGGTCTACGATTTATTGCTACGAGAACGTGAACGATACTTAATCGTAAAGCTTCCACGGTAACTTTCACGTAATTTACTACAGCCTTCTGGTACAGGACGCAAAAGTTTCAAATTAACGAACATGGACTCTGTTTGCTCCGGCACCAATTACGTCTTCAAAATCTTGACCTTATTTCTCCCAATCGCTGTTTTATTTTTTCCCCAAAGAAATGACATGTTTAAAAGGTATTCTTATTCAGTTTAGGTGCGTTCGATAATACATGGCCTACATTCTCAGGTCGCGGGTTCGAATACAGTTCACAGAATGTGTTACACAAACGACTTCTCAGCCCGCCGGCAGGTGTGGTTAATAACCCGGGCATGACTTGACGAAAGACTGAGCTGAGTGCAAAACAGCCACACGTCAAAATATCCTGACGCTAATGTGCATTAAACGGTTCGTTCTCTGTCGTCGCTTGACTTAGTAACTTCACTAAGAGCTTCATAATTGAAAGCATCGTAAGGATTAATCCTACGTCTGTGGTCGTGGCACACTTCAAGTGTTTGGGGACAACTGATAATAAAATACATTATTATCGTGGACATTCATGTTGAATATATCAGCAGAATAAAGTTGTGGCAGCGCTTAGAAGTATAGGTGAATACCAAAATATTTCGTAGGAACCCGCTACCTTCATCTTCAGTAAAGATGCTTCAATCTAGAAGATGACAATCTGATCTGTCACAGCCAGAAAATCCCGAGATTTCGTATAGGAATCGGAGTAATGTGATGAGTAATTTCTTATGCAATTAAGATAACAAAAGACGCAAGAAATAAAGTGCCATAATCCTTTCCAGAAGATAAACGTCACTGGTCCAGCTGGGAAATATTTTTATGAGCTGCTTTTTGGAGTAATGGAGACTTCAATTCAAATTTCCTAATTGAAAGTTTAAACCCATTTCTCCTCTCCGCACCCTACATGTCCTGCCCCCCCTGATTTTACAATCCTAACACCAAACCCATCGCTCTGCAGTTGTCTCCGTCTCAGGTCCAATTTTCCTCAGCATCCTATACTAAGACACCCTCAATCTGCTTTCTTCCCTTAATGCGAGAGATCAAATTTCACGCTCATACAAAGTACCAGGTAAAATCATAATGGTTTAGGGCAAAGTATAATGATTACAGTTGCACAGCGACTCTTCAGTCACCCTTAAAACACTAAAGCGCAAACAACTAACACTTCGTCGAAATAAAGGAAAAAAAAATTTCAAGAAGTTCCCCCTTTTCGCGACTTAATTGCCTTCCCTTCCCCTGGTGACGTAATTACAGCGCCCTGTAACGGCTTCAAAATGAATTATCAAGTAGCAAAGATTGACAGCACAAAGAAGCGATGAGATGCAATAATACGTATTGAAAGCTTCACACCTAATGGTCGTGGGAATAATTTATGTTAATGTTGTTCACCAGGTACCGCTAGCGTCGCTCTGGTGGAAAAAGAATGAGTCAAAAAGACGATAAAAGGTTACGTACAAAACGGCATGAAGTTGGGTCATTAGATAATTCACGAAAACTCGCAGATTCTGTACCAAAATTCACTACGTTATCTAAAGATGATCTCTGACTCTGACATTTGCAGTCTGAAAATCTTCTGGAGTATTTATTTGTTTACGGTTTATTTAACGACGCTGTCTCAGAAGTTCAGACTATATACAGCGTCGAATTTCTGGTTGAGAAAGATGACAGAACGAAACTCTTGAAAACATGTCATAAAAACTGAATGCGGTTACCGACCAGTTAAGTTCAGCGGTAACTGACCCCCAATATAAAATGTGTTAAAACGAAAAACAACACAATTTTCAACAGATTGCCCATTCAATTCTTCTGAGCTAAAATAAGGAGATATTAATTGTTTAAGATCTGGAAGTTTGTGAACCCAATATATTACGACCCCTCAGACAATCTAAGAATGTCTGAAATCCTATTTGCGAAGCGTCTTCCTACGGCTTCCCTGATACCTACATAACTAAGTGTGTGCAGAGACGCAGGGCACTCAAAGCGCTTTGTGCCGCCTGAACAGACAGCAGTATCGATGGACCCGTGTCTAATGAATTGTCAATAGGGGCTGCTACATTGTGCAGTAAATATTTCACATCAATTTCATACTTGTCAAGATGCGAGGCGATTCATCCCTCTGGCTGACGTTTATTACCCTGTTTCACCCCTCCGAATCCATCCCCTCACCACCACCCCTTACACTGGTCTTGTTCCGAACCGCTTTCGATGAAGGGAGGAATTCCCGCGTCTGATACCCAGGGTTGGCTGACTGGTCTTGATAATATGGCGGTGATGGTGATGACCAGTCTAAAAGGCTCCCATCCTATCATATTTTGACAGTAATTAATAATCCACGAAGGCAAAATTAAGCTGAAAAGATAATAATAAAATGAGAGGATAACATTAGAATGGATATACAAAAAACAGGCTTTGGGATGTTTGGATTCATCTGGCTCAGGATATGGACTGGCGGCGGGCTCTTGTAGTCACGGTAATTAACCTTCTGGTTCCATAAAAGACGGCGAATTTCCTGACTGGCTGAGTGTACCATTACCGTTTCGACCAAGATTCTAATACCTCTCTAAAAATGGGGTTTAAAAATTTATAAGAAACACAAATTACACTATAATATAACCACCAGTAAAATATTTAAACACATATTTAATATTATATGTTCAATAGACTGGCAAAACATCACGATCCGCCACTGCGTTCTTTACAAGAAATTAACAACACAATAAGATTAGTAGAATCTGCTTCTTTATAAATACGAAAAATTACATTTATCAGATACAAAAATAAAACATAATTACATCACAAAGGCACGTGACTTCTTAGAGTGACAGTTTTATGTTTCACACATTGTAACATTAAATACATAAATTAATAAATAAATAAACTAAAGCACTTCATAAATCACACGCTGGCATGGCAACACGACAGTCGTCTGTCACAATGTGTATCGTTCAGAAATGTTTCATTAAGTGTCAACAGTATATTCAGGACGACTAAACGAAAATTATTGTTCACAAATCCATTGTTTCCGTCAGTTCAAGATTTAGAGTTTAGTATTTGGACGATCTGGCGCAGACAGAAAACATCTGCCCCTTTGTTAAACGTATAAAAATAATTCTATCTTGATAAATTCGTAGAAATTCTACAGCTTTGTTCGTATCTGATACGAATAATTGTATTAAAATTATTCTGTGCCGAACGGAGACGGGACAGAAAGTCTATAAAATGAAAGGCTACGGGGCTGTGCGACCAGGGTTCCTATTCCGGAAATAGAAATGAATTTTTACTTTCGCCAGAATTGTAACCAAACCGGCGCTGGGGCCCACCTAACCCCCTATTCAAGGGGACCGGGGCCTTCATTTATTTTCCCGTTTCATATTTCCCCTATTTCGTGTTAAATGTTCACACAGAGGACAATTCAGAAGTCATGCGAAGGCAAACATCTGAGACACTCCCGCACTGAGGGGAATCCCAAAGTTCCCTGTTCGACACAAAATACTTCGCGTCATGAATCTTGCGCATGCGTATTGCTGCTATGACTGTGGCGAGACGCCGGCTTCCTGTTAGCGGTGGAACAAGTTCTGAGACAGCAACATCGGGGTCCCTGTACCCCAGAACCGTCCTCTTCCTTCTTGTATTTAACACGTCGGTTTTGGAACCAGATCTTAACCTGCAAGCAAACCGAGTGTTATCACTAGTTTCCGGCAAAAGCCATTACTCTGAAAATTCCATTCATAAATTGAACGCGTATTTTGTGCCAACATTTCTGCAGCACGAAATCTTTGCAACTAATTGACTGACACGCCCTAAAGGCGTGGGAGGTACATCTCCACACTTCTTTACCTTGGCAACAAGGAATGAGTTAGCGATACCCAATAGACAGGAGACCGGGTTCATCAAATGTAATTGACGGTCTTTATAATTATCGATGTATTTGTAATTTTTGAACAGAAAATTATATAAAATTTGCTTTCATGTTCGTAAACTCGGGGCTTTAGTCAAAATACAGGAGCCCGGACTGCTAATTACGTGGTAATACTTATTTATTTTGCTACTAAAAACCTAAAAGGACATTTTTGAGACTCTCCTCCGGGCTTATGGGGCAAACAGCAAAGTATGAGACGCACCTGTTTCTCCGAGAGCCTGAGGCAAGACGCGATCTCAATTCTGCGCAGGCGCGACAAATACATGTTGGCGGCGAACTCTCGCTCCAGCTCCAGGAGCTGAGTGCTCGTGAAAGCCGTGCGTATACGTTTGCACGAGCCGCCACTGTTCGACTTCTGGCGAGCCAACACGGGGCTCGGGCTGCGACTCGTTGTGGTCGCGCCGCCACTGATCGGCGAGCATGACGTCACCTGCGTCTCTGCAATAGGCGAATGCGTGTTTAACGACGGTAATAATTCAACACCAATTAAGTACGAAACAAACAAACAGGGTAGAATTTCAAACAAAGTTTCTGCTCACCTGGTGGAGTGTTGTGTGACGTCGCCGTGACTTCGTGGGGCCTCGTCATCGGTCTGACGACGCTGGTGACATTGCAGTACAGGGGGTACCCCGAGGGGAACCCCACTTTTGGGGCCCCGTATACAGGCGGACGGGACAGACCCAAAGAGAATAGGTAGCTGCTGAACGGTGGTGTCGCCGCTGGGGGTAACGCAGGCACCCCTTGGGGGCACTGCCTGGTGGGAACGGGGGATGGATTGCCGATCAAAGAATCCACTAGGAAGGACCGAGACATCATGCTGTCTACTCTGCTGCCATCGTGGGTTTAATCCGGAAAAATGGTCGCAAGTTATCCAGCTCGACTTTTCGCTGGTGTCGGCTATTTCGAGGTTTTCCAGACGCTTTTCAAGAAAAAAAAATTAAACAGAATACAGCCGTTTCATCCCGCACAATTCAATTTTACCCCTAGTAGCCATCACAACGAGATCACAAGAATCTGCAGTGTCAAGCGGACAGGTCTAATCTCATTACACAATGACGCAGCGAAGTTCTCTGAACTCGTACGCGATTAATTTCTCCTGTACGAGAATGTTCGAAGTTCCCGCTACTTCCCGACACTTAAATACTTCTTCCCGGGGCAGAAAGCATTTTTGGTCATTCTTACGTGAGGAAAATTATTTGTATCAATAAGTTTTTAAAGTGGCGCTGTAAATTGTCCTTATATTTCGTGTTCAAAACAATTAATTTAATATACGATGAATTTTTAATATCGCGTAACTTTCTTCCAGTGTGCTGGTCCACGGGCGTAGAAAATCTTCTATTAAAAAATATTTTTCGCTTGGATTCTCCTCAGATTGTCACAAAACACAATTTAAATATTTTTTTCACAGTCAGTGTTCCTAAAACGTGGAATGCATTACCTGTAAACCTGTCTCATCTGGGAATAGTATTCACAGAATTCGTGTCCGATTTTAAAAGAACGCATCACAGTTCTGGGCACGGGCAATCTGGGATAATATACACTTAAAAAATTTATTTTAGAGTCGACTGTTTTTTGTTTTAAGTATCTCGATTGCGTTGACACTCTCCCACTTCACATATACGGTTCTCACAATGTAATTACACGCCGGATATTGTTAACAGTTTGTCCACTTCGTTTCCATAACAACGCAAAATACAGTGACATCTCTTGAGGTACACTGGAACGATTTGGTCAGCGGCCAGCTGTTTCCATCCACTGCATGAAACATACTGAGGGTCCATTTAACCCCTCGAAGGCACCCTTCTGTAGCTGCACCCCCTTCCTTGTCCCCCCCTCAAAACAGGTAACCAATACCCACCATCATATCCCCTCCACTTTGTAATTGCCCTTAAACACGGGGTCCCATATTTAATGGCGGACTTTCATTGTCTATCAACACTACTAACTTATGAATAAGATCATTAATTTTACGAAACGGCTATGACGAGTCAATCTGAAGGTACGTACAAAGCAGAGAACCGCTGTAACTTACTTAGTGCATGCCAAATTAGTCAGTTTATTGGCCGGAAAAACGAACAAATACCACAAAGAAAAGATAAGTTTCGGCTTGTAAGGTTTAAGTATGTTTCGCTTTTGTAAACATGTAAGATACGAAATAATAAATTAATAACAAATCATCTCAATATGTTCCAAAAGTAAGTTTCTTAGGAAAGGAAAACAAAACAAATATTTTACAGTCTTATTTGAGGCAGAACAACTGAGGAAACATTCGAGCAGTTTACACTTTAACTGTAAGTAATCTTTGTCCTTTCAAGTTCTTAATTAAATTAAAATATGTAACATTTATATCGGGGTCACAGTGGCAGCTCGGTCTGAGGCGCGGGCCTTGTGCCGCTTGGTCGCTGGGACCGTGGGTTCGAATCCCACTCAAGCCATGAATGTTTGTCCTGTGTACAGGTAGAGGCCTTGCGACGGGCCGATCCCTCGTCCAAGGAGTCCTACGAAGAGTTGGGACCCGCAGTGCTCAGGAACTTGAAGAACGTGTCGTCCCAGTAACAATTATATCGGACACAACTGGCTCAGGACATTGTCTCACGGCGGACTTTAGTATTCGACGCTGAAACGTCGAGAAGTGTTACCAGACAAGTTAACAGTTCGGAAAAAAAATATCCTAGATCTGAGGTTCTCAGGGCGGTGTAGACGTCGATGCTGGTGTTCTGGATTGTAGATAGCCAGCGTTTCGGATAAACATAATGCCTCCATCTTCAGGTCCTCAGTCACACGGTGTTATTACGCAGAAAACCAACATTACGAATTCGAGGTCAGAGTTCAATATTCTTCGCAGTCGCGCCTTGCAAGAGAAACATTTGCCTGCCGTTCACGAGATTTAATGACAAGCTCTTCCTAATGAGAGACGCGGGTTTATACGTCTGAGGTAATTCGGTGCTGACAGTGGTAATGTTTATATCTCTATACGTACTTGACTGAAGGAGTTATTTTAAATATGATGTGAAATAATCTGGACTGCGTGTTTCATCAGTGTTGGTAGACCTTTTAGTTACACGCAGCCAGATACCAAATGCTAATAAAGTCACTGTCCATTCTAATAAACGTGAATATTCTCTCTTTTTGAAGTTCAGTATTCCACAGCGAAATTGTAATAAAAATTCCGTTTGAAAACGCAATACAGAACAGCCATTGCATACATTAAATTTTAAAGCTTATCACCCACCTGAGCTTAATTATTTTTTTATCAAAGCTCCCTGTAACTTTCTCATTCATCTGTCGTTTCAAAATTTAAATGCGATGTTGAAGACATTTTCAATTACGGTGTATAATGTATGCGGTCATTACTGGTCCCTGCTACGTAACTGGGACCCTCCAAATTAGAATAATAAAAGTAAGCAGAAGTTGGGGATGGGGGGGGGGGCTGAGAGTGTCAGCTTTCTGATTGGTTGGAGTGGGCTTGAATTATAAAGTGGGCGTATCTCTCTTGTACCCTACAACCCTTCATAACCCTCAGGGCACGAGACTTATGTGACGTCATATGTGAGAGCTATATTCGAAGGATTCATGGGAAAATGAAGGTGTGTGTGTGTTCTGCGTTCGAAATACACGCGTAATTGTAATTCCGAATCAGTTTCTTAGTTTATTAAAAGGACTTCTATCAACTACAGTCGTTGCGTGTTTGGTTGTCGATTATAAGGGCTTGGGCAGACAAAATAAATTTCGGTTCACTTTAGTGAAATTCCAACAGAACTCATCCACAAAGTTTAGAATATCTGGAATACAGAAGGAAAGAGACCACTTACAAGACCTAGAGGTGAATGGGAAGATTTTCTTAAAACGAACCTTGCTGAAATTGGGTAGGACGTGGTTGATTCTTCTGGCTTCTGGTTTAGAAGAACTCCCGGATTCTGGTTTTGAAGAACTCCCGGATTCTGGTATTGAAAAACTCCCAGATTCTGGTATTGAAGAACTCCCGGATTCTGGTATTGAAGAACTCCCGGATTCTGGTATTGAAGAATTCCCGGATTCCATAAAGGATGGGAGATTTCTTGACTACCTGAGCGTACTTTATTTCAGCTCCTCAAGAGCAATACTCTGCTTCATGGAGTTGTGGATCAATACCAGGGAGGTGGCAATCCCAGTGGTAAACATCACACTTTTACACCCAGGCAATTGGCAGGTGTGTCCTCCCAGCAGAGTAGCAACTACTACTAAGAATTTCATGTCCTCCCTCAACCGCGTGTATCGGGCGCCTGTCAATAGGAATCAAGTACCAGCAGATCGTGGCGCGGCCCCCGCCAAGTGACAGCAGCAATTACAGGATTACGAAAGGCTTTGTGTCCTCTCAGGTGGAGACTACGGAAGGTTTTGTTCATGGAAACTGTACCAGGTATGAGAACGCTTCAGAATGGCTACGGAACCAAATTTCGGATGCATAAATCCGCTTTTATTATCAGCATAAAAATATGACAGATACCTTCTTTTTTGGATGGAACATGCTGTCCTCATTTTCAGGGAATGCCTATTACAAAGATCAATCGGTTAATACTATTTAAGTTTGTTCTGAGGCACAAAATGCACATTCAGAAGGATATTAAAGTAGGCGGTATATATAGTAACCATTAAGATTTAAACGGTTAAGAATGAGAAACGTGTGGATGTGACACACAGCACGCCGTAAGTAACTTCAAATTAATAAACAGGGAGACGTTTCCAGAACGCTAAATGTGTGATGGTCATTAGGACTATTCATTCGCTAGCGACATACGCAAAGATACGTTTATAACAGCATTAATTTCGTCACAAAACATCACTAAACGCCCGTTAGCTTAAAGCGGAGCGCTCTTAATAATAAACTGCGCGATCTGAAAACAATTGAATCGCTTCGCCCGTGTCGGTGATTCACTTCCAACATGTAATTGCAGCTGAAACGATTCGGTTGCGTGCAAACTGGTTGTTACAAAACAGTTCAGAGTAAAACGCCTCCTGTCGCTTTAATGACGTCATTAATTACCCTTTGCTCTCCTGTTTTCTCCCTTTCGCAAAAAATTGATTTTCGCGGAATAAAATATAATTATTGCATTGACGGGCATTTATGCAAATTTCATGGGCCCTCGAATAAAATGGAAGCAGAAACTTCCAAAAGTTAAATTTTTTACATATCAGACACACAAAATATGATAAAAATTTATTTTCGTACTTTTAAGTTCATCTAGATGATATTTAAGAATTCAGTCCGTACCGCGAAGAAAACACAACGCCTCACCATTACAAAGATCAGTTTGTTAACGCTGTTTAAGGACATAATCGCTGTTTACAGTGAGAATTAAGCTAACTCCAAAAATACAAACTGCAGATCTTAAAATAAGAAGAATGTGAAACAGAATTACCTTCTATTTCAACGAAATATGCTTACATAATATATTTGTTTTTAACGACAATACCGTTCTTTTTCCGTTTTAAAAAATTCGCATTAAACACGTATGTGGATTTCCGTCCGATTCTGAGGAAGTAAATTGGCTTTATTACGAGGAAGCTGTGCTCCTCGCCAGAGGCACTGCAGTTACCATCCGGCTGGATAACAGGATTCAATAAGAGCGAATCGTTTCTCTGCGCTAAGCCAATTGCTTGTTTCAGTCCCCCGTGGGCACATGACAGAGAGGGTTTATCCACCGCTAACTCGGGATGAAAGAGTCCATTTTAATTTCAGAGACGAACGAGATTAGCAACGTTTCGCTTATTCAGTTAATAAATTAATAACTGGACTAGCATACTGACCAGTAAAATGTTACGTAGTTTCAAAGGAACAAGTCATTTGTTATTTTAACCCATAAAATTTTCTTGCTGTGAAATTGGTTGTTAATAATTAGTCAAATAACATCAGAAGTTTAAAATAATTTTTCTGTTTTGCGCCATCTTGTTGAGCGTGAATTATTAAAATGAGAGGAAATACAATTTTCAAAACCGTTTAAAAAGTAACAGAAAGAACTTGTCTGTCCCCTGGAGATTATGACGTTGAACCATATTTATATTGAAATTATTTTTCACAAGAAACGGGATTATTATATGCGTTTTACAATACGTTCCCAATTCTTAATGTTACTACCACTAATTGTTATACATTCACATTGTCACTGATATAACAATGAGAAGGATACGAGTACGAGTTTAAATTGGTATTAAAGTCTTTCCTACGTTTCAGTGCTGGGACGCATTGTCGATTAGCGACAATCTGAGCGTGCGCTGAGCGGCCACCGGACTTCCGGTCTCGTGGCGCGATGCGACGCAATAATAATAATAATGTTTTGGTGGCGCGGCAAATTATGCTTCTAGCATGTGTGTGGGTCGCTTCGGTCATAGAGGGGGCAGTGGACCAAGTTAAGCGTATCTTCCTACAGACAGGGGAGGATAGCCCAGATAAAACATTAACCTTTCATGCTCAATTTTATTTTGCTGAAATAAAAAGTGTGCACGTACTGAGCTTAAATTTTCAAAGGGACTGAAAGATAAGACAGAGACCTTATTTTTTTCCAATATTTTCCGAAATCGTGAATCCTTGACGTGCTTCCTACAAATCTAAAAAAAAAAAAAAAAAAATCCTCTTTGCAATATGACTTTTGTTGCAAATAGTTTTTTAACTGAATAAAAATTTTCTTGGATATTATCCATCGTCTAGTAAATATAAAACGTAAAACGACGTTTCGGAGATGGGACTCTATCTCCGTCTTCAGGTTCCTACACAGTTGGGCCCACTAGATAGAGCTAATCCCATCTCCTAAACGTCGTTTTACGTTTTATATTTACTAGACGATGGATAATATCCAAGAAAATTTTTATTCAATTGACTCTTCACCATCGTCAAGAAGTTTTAGATTTGATATAGTTTTTTAACAATCAATTTTGGCTGGATAATTTCAAGATTATGCCTTAAATCCCATTAGTAAAGAAAGGTTCAGATTGGGAAGGAGTAGTAAGAAAGCACATAGATGTTTCATCACATTGATATATTACAATTTTCTGAGCCATCTTTGTAACAATTTTACAAAGCTATCACAATGTTACATCATACGAACATCTGCATCTCCCTTTCATATTTGCTAGGACGCTGGATTCATTGGTCGATTCTGTGAACGAACACATCTCAGCTCGGAAATACGTCCAGAAAACAATAATAATTCTGTAACGTAACGTCCACTTGCGTTAATTTAAAAATGCAGGATATTGAAGTGGTGTTATTATAAAAACAGAATGTCTAACAAACACATAGATTTTTCGTCGATCTTAATGTGCCAAGTCTACTTTTAAAATTACTTGTCTGATGCTTCGTAATGAAGAACAGTAAATATAAAGTACGTTTCACTTTATTTATTACTGCAAACTATCAAAGATCTACCCTCTAAATTATAACCAATATAGGCCTATTATAGGCTAAATTAATATATTAAAACGTCCGCTTACCGAATGGGAAAATATCTTCGTAAGATCTTTATTTCCTAAACTTAACTTCACATAATTGGCGTGTAAGAAACACGTGTTTATTCCGGTGGCTTGCCTCACAAATTC